CGCCTTTCTTTGCGTGAACATTTGGGCTGCGTTATGCAAATCTTCCCACATCGTGACGTAGACATGTTGGGGGTTGGTTAGAACGAGCCGTTTTAGGAGGGCGTGGTTGACTCTTAACTTTTATAAAGAATATCTCTTTGCATCATATGACCCCTTTAATCACGGCCAAGAGGACCTCATACTAATCACAGAGAATCCTAACAACAAAAAGAATACAACAGTTTATATAGCACAAGTGCTACAGGTGCAAAAATGACATATAGTTACTCTCTGTTACTGGCAAAGCAAATTCGTTTTTTTGATTACATTTACATTGTCATTTAGCAGACGCTTTTATCCCAAGCGACAGATGAGGACAATAGAAGCAATCAAAAAAAATATTATAATCTTTATTCAAGTGATGAAGGATTTCGAAAGTGTGACAGTAATCAGTGTTGAGTACTACTGTAAGGTTTACCCTGCCTGGTTTACATGTTTGAAAGTGATTAACAGTTGAAAATATTAGACATTTAGAAAAGTAATCAAAAAGTAATCAGTTACATTACTTTAATAAAGTAATTGAAAAGTTACACTACTTATTACATTTTAAGTAGGGTAACTTGTAATCTGTAACCTATTACATTTCCAAAGTAACCTTCCCAACACTGTGTATACCTGCAGCAGAAACAAGACTCCAGACAATGCTTTTAGATATGCTTTAAAAGGGGTCATATGATGTTGCTAAAAAGAACATTATTTTGTGTATTTGGTGTAATGAAATGTGTTTATGCGGTTTAAGGTAAAAAAAAAACATTATCTTCCACATACTGTACATTATTGTTTCTCCTCTATGCCCCGCCTTTCTGAAACGCGTCTATAGCATTTCAGTGGTGTTGGGTTCAAGACAAGTTTAGCTTTATTTCCACAGAAATGTTGACGTTTAAATAGTGCTTTCAATAACGAACTCAGAATGGAGGTACAGACTCAATTATACATGTTAAGATGGTTAAATATGATCAAATTTGAATTGTGTAAAGTTAGATCCAAACGATCGACTCTTAACAAAAAAGTGTTAGCCAAGATTGATGCAAGGACATAAGAGGACGTTTTACATGGATAATACTCTAGTGACGCATAACTAGAACCATAAATAGCTGCTCTGCATAGGAAAGTTCTCCAAAGACACAAAAACATTGCTTTAGACAGAGCAAAAACAAAAGGAGAAGAATTGAACAAAAACATAGCCTATAAATTTGTACTGTGTAAAATGCCTAAACCTTCAACATTTCTCTTAGAGTTGACTATATATAGGAACCCTGAAATAGATCTCTATTAATTCATGTGCATCCATGCACTTGTTTTACATTTACATTTAATCATTTAGCAGACGCTTTTATCCAAAGCGACTTACAAATGAGGACAATAAAAGCAAAGAGCAACAATATGTAAGTGCAAGTGACAAGTCTCAATTAGTCTAACGCAGCACACATAGCAAGGTTTATATATATATATATATATATATATATATATATATACACACACACAAAGAAAAGCAAGTAGATAGAAAAGAAAAAATGGAAAGCTAGTGTTTTGTTTTTTTTTTAAATAAAAAAGAAGATATATAAAGTAGAATTAAAATAGAATAGAAAGTGCTAGAGTTAGAGGGTCAAATAAAGATGGAACAGATGTGTTTTTAGTCGTTTCTTGAAGAAGTTGGGCAGGTCATTCCACCAGGAGGGAACAGTTAATGGAAAAGTCAGTGAAAGTGATTTTTTGTGCCTCTTTGAGATGGCACAATAATGCGTTGTTCACTTGCAGAATGCTAGATTTATTATTATTATTAATTTAATATTATTATTTATTATTATTTCGATTTATTAGATGATCACTTCAGCTTGTTACTCAAGTCATTAGTTGTTAAGGTTATTCTTATATTCTTGTCCATATGCATCCATTTTTGCAACACACTAAGTAACTTTAAATTTTTTTTTTATTTTCAAATGGCCAGTTGCGAATGTTCTTGACCCTTTTTACATCTCAGATGCATCCAAGACATCCAGTTTGTTGCTGTTCATCTTCTCCTATTCGGAACAATAGATGTGCTCTCCCAGCAAAACTGTTATGTCTGTTCACTGACGGGGGACTCTGACATTCATTCAACCTTTTTTTTATCTGCAATGAGAACAGTAAGAACCTTTTAGTGCAGCAATATCTTGACAATAAAGAGGATGAATCATGATGGTGTTCTGTGAATGTAGATTTTTGTCCCCATGGACTAATGTAGTAATATTTGATTTACCTCGTCCTTTTGTCTAAGAAGTAAACATGGTTTCATGGTTCCATTACAATGAATACAGGAAACCTGAGGCTGAGAAAAATACCATAGAAATGTGTGAAACTGTCAGGTTTTTCTACAATGACTTCTACAGGCATTTCGACAATCATTACTGGCTTGTTGTGGATTTCAAATTCTTTCCGATGGACACTCGGTGTTGTTTTGTCACATGAGGTGGGTCTCAGTATCACATTGAGCATATTGTTATGCTGTCATAAATGGGAAAGATACAGGTACATGTAACTCTAGCATAAAAATGACAACCAAATATACATGTAGAAGAAGCTGAAACATTTTATGGAGTATTTTAAGGAACATGCACAGAAAACAAATAATCAAAACAAACCAACAAATTACAGCTTATGAATTAAATAACTTACTGTTTTGACAATGGTGTTTGCCTTTTCCTTGATCCTTATTGCCTTGTCAACAATTTTTCTGTCATTATCATCTAACTTATCATATT